TTGATCTGAAGAACCACACTTGCCTTGGTGAGGGCAGCGTGTCCAAAAAGGACTGTATTTGGTAATAGTTCAAGTGTTGGACAGGGTGCAGGGGAAGGCTCAGGATTCAAAGCTGTGTGCTCAAGCAGGCTAGGAAGGTTTGTAGCTTCGTGGATACAACGCTGGCCAAATGTTTCTGGTTACATCCTGAATGTTGCTGCGGGTTCTTGGAGAGTTGTGTTCTCTGCCCCGGTCCCAGGGGTCGTCTCCATTTTCCGCTGACTAGACAGACATGTCTCGGGCCTGTGGGTCAGCTTTTGTGCTGGGAAGCTGATCTCATAGCACAGTAGGAGATGCTTTTTTTTCTTAGACTGGGTTTTCTTCTGTAGAAGTTGGGTCACCCAATCCAGCATGACTAGGAAACACCATGCTTTTCAGCGTGGATGCTAGCTGCTGCTTCTCTTTGCTAACAAGTCTGGCTCACAAGAAGCAGTCACCAGGTACCCACTGACCACATGCTGTAGTCCTCTTGCCTGGTATACTGGTATTTTGTATTCTTGTGCTTTGCTTCTGACTGCTTTGGGGTTGTTAAGGGAAAGTCCAACTTTTGTCAGCGTGACCTTGAGGTCAGTATTTATCCCTCACCTGTGGCCCAGCTCCAGAATTGTCAGAGGCCATCTGCCTTAGTCTTCAGCACCGCAGGTCCTGAGGGCTGGCCACAATCGTAGGAGCCGCAGCAAGGCGATGCTGGAAAGATGGATGTGCAAGCTGCTTACAATGAAGTGTGAGTCAACAGTGCTTAATGCAGTCAGCTTTCTCACTGTGTAATACATCACAATTTTAAATGTTTGTTCTCCTTTTTATTTTGGAAAATAGCTTTACTAGTGAGTCATGAAGCATTGCCAGTGTTCCCATACAAGACGGCTTATAAAGAGTGGGAACATCAGCATCGTGGTGCGGTCTGCAGAAATTCTCACATCCATTGCAGTGCAGCTCTCTGCCCCCACCTCTCAAGTGTGTGGTGACCTCTGAGGCTAGTTTCCCTGTCACCTTAAGTTACCCCATCAAAGAGGACATCCCTGCTCTTCCCACTCCCTTGTTCCTGTGCTGGCATCCTCAGGTGGCGGTGCTCTGCCGCTGTGAGCTGGCAGGAGCAGGCATCTCCTCGATTCTGGTGGTGGTCTGGTAAGACACCGGTAGTCTTCAGCCAGGGTTCAGTAATGTTTAAGAGTACTCTGGCTGGGTCTTCAGGAGCACAGCGCTGTTTGTTTCTGTGGAGGGGCATATTCCCTTCTGGAGGGTAATGTTGGTATTGGGGGCAGGGTTTACCCCACTTAATGGTTAGGAAGAGCAGAGTTACCTTGTGTGTCTTCCTGACTCTTGTTTGAAAACATTTCGTGCGTTACTACAAGAAAATACAGCTTATTGCTCCTCTTTATGCCCATCCTGCTAAAAAGTCAGTGTTTGAACAGTGAAGTATGCAGTTCAAATTTGGAGCAGATACACTGACAGACAGGCGTCTAGACTTAAACATTGTAGAGTAATTTCTCTTCCAGTACAAGAGTTTTTTACTGGGGGGGATAATGGAATATGGGATGTGGTATGTCCTATTGGTAGTCACCGGTAACTCTGCTCTGGAACCTCAGCCCTCACCTCTTGCGAGTCTGGCTTGATGGGCGATCTGTCTTGCTAACTATAGATCGGTCTGTTGGAAGGGGGGATGCTAAACTGGCCTGAATGTTTTACTGCTGTTTGAGCTATAGTGGTGGTGTTGGAGGATACCAAAGGATCTGCTTGGATGAACTGGTCTCCCTCAAGCTGTTGTGTGGATTGTGCACTGTGTTTTACAGTATAATTGGAAGGACTTTGAATTTTATAAGCCAGCTAAAATAGTTGAACCCATGCCTTTGTTTGACAGAGGAAGGATGAGTAATATTTAGGCCTTCAAATAGTTTTCTACTTTATATTTGTTTGAAACTGCTGGGATTCTTCTGTCTTTATTTGTGGGTAGTGTCCATGTTTAGTAATAACCCTTTACTGGAGAGTTAGTCTGATGAAAAACACTAAGCTGTATCTGAGCTATAAAGTGTCTGTTTTTCAAGCCCTGTAGATAGCTTCCTCTTTAAAAATGTTGTCTCTGAAATGCTACTTGCCACAAAGTATTTTTTCTCACATTCATCTGTTCATGAGAAAATATTGGCTATATCGCTGTTTTCTTTAGAGCGTGTGGATGAATATGTGGAACTGTCGTAACGAGGTTTGGACTCTACCCACCTGGTGCCCAGCTCCTTGTCTTGCGTCACAGCCACAGAATTTTTTTTTTTTTGTGGCTGTCACTCCTTCTCAGGTGTAGCTGCACATCCAAAACTTGTCACGTTGGGTTTTCTTGGGGGCGGTGGGGTACTTGGCAGTGAGCCTGGGGCACTTCTTGGTGGCTGCAGCCTGTTTTCATTGCCGCATTCCCAGGAGCCCTTCGACGACTGCAGTCATTTCATGGATATCTCTAGTCCATGCAGTGGAGGAGGCTTGAGGGACTCTGCAGAGTGGGTGGCTGCTGTCCTCAGAATAATTCAGGTGGCATATGCTTCGTTGTTGCTCGCCTTACGAAGGCTCTTGAAATGAGGGAAAGGGTTCAAATCTCTTGCTCTGATGGCCGAAATCTGCCTGTAGCCCTGAGGTGAGGCACTCCTAACTGTGCGAACAGTCTGCGAGGGCCTTGGGGAGGGGGTGTGTATCTGCCTGGGTGTTTGTGATCTCCATCTGAAGTTAGTGAAGGTGTCTGAAGCTAATGAGTCTGCTTAGATAATCCCCCTTCTCTAAAGTATGGATAATAGTACTTCCTTCCGTCACTGGCAAAACTGAGACCCTGAGACATTTTGTGGTTGGCTTTCAGTGAAAACTGGGACTAGTACCATTCCTGAGCATCATATGCATGTCTCCCAAGTCTGGCAACTACTGTTATCGCACAGGTGAATCTCTTCTATTTCTCTTGTCTTGTGAATTTTAAACTATAGGAAGGTGTGAAGTTAAACTTGTCCCCTATATTGTTTGGAATAACTGAAAACTCTGCTTTAGTCATTGGCAAAATAAAAGATTGAATCCAAGACAAAGCTGCGTCAACAAGGGGAGATTTAAGTCTGTAAAGCATTCGTCTGAAATCTGTGAAGTGCTGATCTGTTGCAGATGCTGGCACTGTGCTTGTTCTCGGATATTAACTACCATTAAACCAAACTAAAATGTATATGACATAAGCAAGCCTCTGCTGCTTGAAATTTCTTCTTGTTGATAAGGCAAGTAAGAGAGAGGAGAGAAATCCACAGTATGGTTTTTGTCTTTGTGATACAACGTAGGCTCTGAGTGAGTTTAGGAGACAGAGACTTTGCTTGAAGAGACTTTGATACGAGTTGCTCCAGAGAGGGACCATCTGTGGTGGTGTTTTGGGTTTTTTCCCTCCTGTTCCCTGCCCCCCACCTTAAAAGCCAGCTAAATATTCACATTGTTCCCCTTACGCTGAATGTAGTTGTGTGGTCATGTAACCACAAAAGGAAATGTTTTCCATCGGATCAGTGAGATGATTCAACTCAAATGTACGTACACTCATACTATCCCAAAATCCAGTGCGAGGGAGCGAGCAGGAACGTGCGGACTGGGAGAGGGAAGCGTTGTCCTGCTGCGAGGAGCTTTTGGGTTAAACATGTTATGAAGTAAACCTCCTCCTTCTGAGCTGCATCTCTTAATGTGATTGAATTGGAGGGGAGGGAGAAGAGCCCATCTTCATCCAGAACTTCCCCCAGCCTGGCAGTGTTGTGTAGCTGTGGAGACATCCCGTGGCCAGATGAGGAACAGTCTGAACCATGTCCCTTGTTCAGGCCTCCAAGATTCCTCAGTTCTTAAATTATTGCCCTTGGCTGTGGCTGTGCTAAGAAACTGGAAATTTGATGAATTCAGAAACTGTAGTCGCCATATGGTTCTTGTACCAAAGGCTTTGGATAACTCATCGTTGTGAGGAAATCCTGTGGTGTTTTCCCCAGCAGCTCAGGAGCAGCTATGATCTAAGCTGGAAAGGGCAAAATCATCTGGAGAGAATTTGGACAGCTTTACTTGTCCTGTGGCTGTGCTGGGCACTCTGCAAACATTAAAAGACATCTGTCTTCTCCAAAGCACTTCTAATCTCATTTGGATTTAGTGATCTCTCTTGCCTGCCTCTAAAGATCAGGGACCTGTTGTGCATGTAGGTGCTGTGGAAGCATCAGGAAATAGTTGTTGTCCTGAAGGGTTTAGAGTAATAAAGGAGAGAGTCCGAGTGGAATCCATTCAGTTACAGCATATGCACAGCAACAGAATGACTGTCTTATTCCGACAGAGCTCAGTGTCAGAGCTTGAAGAGAAACGAGTCAGTAAAGGAGGAAAACAGTGTTAGAGTACGAGGTGAACAGGAATTTAGTCATTTAGATGTTAAAAATGCAGAAGCACAAGGAGTGGAATTCAGATTCTTGAAATGTTTGTTCTGCCTGTGTCAGTCACTGTTACTGATAGGCAGGTGTGGGCTTGGTTTTAATTGTGCTGTAGCTCACAGTTTGTGCTCCATTACCACGTTGCCTTACCGATAAAATGAACTAAAGGAAGGAAATAGTACTTGCTAAAGATGGGGAGGCTCAAAATACTCATATCTCCTCCTTTCCATGTCTCCTGTCAACCCTATTGGAGAAGCTCTAGATGAGACTGCCTCCGAATTAGTGTGTGTTTACCTGTAGGATTAAAGAGGTGGTGAGCAGCATGCTGGAACAAGTGGGATGTAAACAAAGAACAGAAGAGGAACAGTTATGGATATAAATAAATACCCAAAACTTTTCCGAGCCAACAGGGAGTGAATGCAGGTGCTCCTCTGTTCACAGGACTCTCCTTTGCTTTTTCAGATCTTTATAAGGAAGCAGATTGCCAGGATTTCCCCCCTGTGGCTGCCTGACTGCTGCTGAGCTACCCCTCCCAGCCCATGTGGCTCTCCCCATGCTCCAAGAGTGCAACTGGTGCCCAACGCAATGTGTGTTTGTCAAACCATGGAAGTGGGCAAGTATGGCAAGAATGCCACTCGATCCGGAGACCGGGGGGTCCTGCTGGAGCCTTTCATTCACCAGGTGGGCGGCCACAGCAGCATGATGCGCTACGACGACCATACTGTCTGCAAGCCCCTCATTACCAGAGAACAGCGCTTCTATGAATCTCTGCCCCCTGAAATGAAGGAGTTCACACCTGAGTACAAAGGTGAGGCCTTTTGTCATTCCAGAATGCAGTTACATCCTTCAAGAACCTGCCCTCTCATTTTCCTGCAGCTACTGATGTCTTGCTGTCTTTTGGTGTAATTTTATTTGTTGTTTTTAATTCTCTTTTGCTGGCTAGCAATTTGATAGGAGCAGTTGGAAAGGAGGAAGTCTTTTTTTTTTTTGTAGGCATGCAGAGTTTAATCTGCTCCTCTTTCTAAACAGAGAATATGCAGTTGTAGTCTGAAGCTTAAGGTAATGGATGTGTAACTGAAGTAACTCTACTACCAAGTTACTGTCAATTACAGCCTTGACCTTGAGCAAATGAAATTAGGTCATATACTGAGCATTTGCACATTCCAGTCCTGTAATTTATTGCTTCCTCATCCCATCTCTTTTATGGACCCGTATCAGAAAGCTGCTGAAGCAGGAAGCATTGCTTTCCCAGCGCTGAGGTGAAGCCTTGTCCCCAGCTGCTTTGAAGGAATGGAATTTTCCAGTATCTGTATCATTGTAGGAGGTTGGCAGCTCATCTGTATCTTTCAGAAGCTTGATACACTTTCAGCCATGTATTCAGGATGGTGACACTGGCAGGTAGCCTTCTGGGGGACACAGCGCTCCTATTGCCTCTGCTGCTTTGTCACCGAGTGGCATTGGGAGGATGGTGCTTCACAGACAGCTGGGACCACCATCTGTTCAGGGTCTTGCCATTTGATCTGGCTGCAGCCTGAAGGTCTCGAAGCAGTGTCAGCTTACCTACCTGTGTCTGTATGCAGATCACGAGTGAAGGGTATAGTCTTCAACAGACGGGTCTTCTTGTACCCTCAAGCCACTCTGGGGCCAATACGGTGCTCTAGTAACGCATCAGAAATCCCAGCTGAAGCCTGTGTAGTTACTAGAATTGATATGGTGTCAGGCTTTCCTTGGAAGATGTATTTAAAACTGTTGAAGCTGATAGTCCAGATGGAGACCTGTCTTCTTGAAGTCAGATACTTCCTGGTAGCCTAAAGGCATAGGACATGCACCTCCACCCCAGTGTGGGATTTCATCCGAGAGTCCCATGCAGTTTCCTGATAGTCCCAGAAATTGTTCTGACTGATCTGGGGGAGAGGAATATTTGGGATGATATTTTCTGTCTGAGCACTCAGGTGTTACTGTAAGATTGCCCTTTACAGAGATATCTCGAGGAGCACGTCCAGGCAGCCAGAGCACTTGGAGTGGCATTTATGTAGTGACATGCTGGAGTCCTGAACTGCTCTGAAGTTGTGTTGAGCTGCGTGAACCTTGTTAGTGTTTTCATGTGCAGATAAGGAAAAAGGAAGGACAGTAACATGATGGCCTGCATCAGCTGAGCAGTGCGAGGTTTCCTCACGTTTGTGATGAATCATTTGATTCGGTGCATCTAGCATCTGATACTCCTAGCAGCTATTCAATCCTGGTGACAAGCTAATGAATGATTTTTGTCATTGCAAGTTAGGAGATGGGCTGATAGCCCCATTTTCAGGGCGGGGAGACTCCCAAAGATGAAGATGTCAGCCCTAAGTAGAAGTGTGAGCTGTCCTGCTCTGTGGCTGGCCAGCTAGATATACTCAGAGTCTGTGCTGTGAAAGATCTATACCTTCCCTTGGACTATGTTGCTTTCCAGGAGCCTTCAGAAGGTAGAACTGGACAGGACACAAATGGTCCTGCTTGCCTGTACCTGGCTGGGGTAGTTTTACTTCCAGAGCCCCCTGTTTTTATTGCTAGGAAGCCCTGGGAGTTTGCAGATCCCTTTTCTGCAAGACTGGCTGACTTGTGATGAGTGGCAGGTGTCACCTCAGCCTCAGAGCTCTGTACTTCAGAGCTCAGATGCTGGAGAGCTCCTTTAGCAGAGAAAGTACACTCCTCCTTGGCCAGCGATGTCCTTGTCAACAGCAGGAACGCTTTTGCAGGACATAGATACTTACCCCAATGAACTAGATACATATTTCGTATGCTTTGCCCCCCTCAACGTCTTGGTAGACTGTGCTTGACTTTCTCCAGTTTGACGACATTTGCTGCAAGACTGAATGGAAGGAAATAATCACACCCCTCAGCCTACCAGCTGCGCTTTTGTCCTTAATTTCCTGTGGGTGGCAGAGCTTCCCCTGCTGCTGCTGAGTGTTCCCTCAGGTAGTGACACAGGGCACTATTTGGGGGATTTCTTCTCTGTGCTGTGCTAACAACATTTGGGTTCTTGTAGTCGTAAACCTCCTTTCATTGGTCTGGATTTGCTTTGCTGCTCTGTGAGCTACACTTTCCTCTCCCCTGTTGAACATTTAGGTGCTAGTGGTTGTGTATTCCCTCCCCTGGGAAACAGAACTGACATGTCCCTTCTCTCTGGCAGGTGTGGTATCTGTCTGTTTTGAGGGAGACAGCGATGGCTACATTAACCTGGTGGCCTATCCCTATGTGGAGAACGAGGCTCTGGAGCAGGATGATATGCCAGAGAGGGACCAGCCGCGACGCAAGCACTCGCGTCGGAGCCTTCACAGGTCAAGCAGTGGCACTGAGCACAAGGAGGAAAAACCTGGTCTGGCCAGTGACAGTACTGAAAGGTAAAAGCTTTGAGGGCCCAGTGACAACATGATGAGCAGGAAGTGTCTCTTCCCCTTTCAGCTCTGGTGCTCCTTTTGTTGAGAGCATTTTGCACTTCCACACAGTCGGCAGGCTGTCTTGCACTTGCTAGCCCACCAAACTGTGGCACTGCAAACTGCGTTAGGAGTTTTGCTAGATTCAGGACGAACCTGTCCACGTGAAGTGCTTCTGACACAGGATAACCCTTGGCAGTTTGTTGGATGTGGAACCAAAGCATGTGGAGCAGATTCAAACACTCTTCAGTCCACCTGGTTATTAATCCAGAAGTTTCTTCCAAGGGTACTTTGAATACTGGTCTCTGCCTTCTCACACCAGCTGGAGCTCCCTGAGGAACAAATGTTCCTGCTTACTCCATCAATTGCAGTACAACCTAGCAGAGATGTTCGACCAGATCCTTGAGCGTGGGTCCACAGCCCAGGGTATTAGTGAGGATTTGCTGTTAAGAAGGTCTGTATTGTGTGAAGTGTGCAGCAGGAGAAGGAACAGGAGATAGTTGTGTGCAAGGGGAGGGTATGACAGTTGTAAGTATCTGAAGAGTGCATGGATTCCAACAGGCAAGTTTGTTCTGTCTTTATACCAGCAGCATCCAGGAAACGAAGAGTCCCAGGGTGGACTTGCACATCCATTCAGATGTTCCATTTCAGATGTTGGATGGGAACAGTGGTCTGAGCTCTGAGAAGATCAGCTATAACCCCTGGAGCCTGCGCTGTCATAAGCAGCAGCTGAGCCGCATGCGGTCAGAGTCCAAGGACCGAAAACTCTACAGTATCCTTGGGAAGCAGAACGGAGTGTGTCAGGTTGCTGCTGCTGCTCTGGCCTACACATTTGTGCCAGGGGCAGCTTGTTTCCTTTGGCTTTCCCATTGTTCACACAAGCAAAGCTGTATTATATGTTTCTTTTTACTATTCCTTCCTGCTTCCCATACAGTGACACTAATGTCTGACACTAAGAGAAGCCATGTTTCTAGCTAGATTCCATTCTAGTTTTCTTTTTTTTCTGGTCCTTCTCTTTGTTGGCTTGTGTTTTGAACTGTAGTTTTTCATGTCAGGCTTTGCCCGGCAGCAGATACAGGTCTACTTTGTTCAGTAATCCCTTGGGAGGGAGCTGTGTTTGTCCTTGTCACCTTTCTTGAATTTCTTCCAGTTCTACGGTATCCTTCTGGAGACCATGACCAGAACTGCACACAATGCAGAAGATGCAGGTGAACCAGAGATTTCCACTGGTGTTTAATGCTGTTGTCCCTCCTCCCTCATAATTCCTGACACACTTTTGTTCTAAGTGCTGTTTCGTTACCCCAGATCCCACTCCTGGCTGGTAATAGTTGTCTCAAAACACACTGCTTTATGCATTAAAAATCTTTTTCTCCTTATCTTGTGTGTCAACTCTAGAGAATTTGCCTGCCCGTTTAATGGCCAAGTCAGTCTCATAAGATTCTTGTGGAGTGTTTCATAACTGTTCCTCACGTTTGCAACCTTGAGTAACTTAGTACTACAAGCAAATTTGTCATCTCGCTGTTCACTCACTCTTCTGCATCACTTGTTGAATGGTATGGATCTCCACACAAAGACCTCGCTGGTGACTTTGGCTGTAAGACCAGTCAGGCTAGTCTGTAGTTCCCAGATCTCTGCAAATGAGCGTTGTGGTGGCCCCCTTTCAGTCTCCTGGTACTAAGGCAGTGTTAAATGAGTTACACATCTCTTATTTTCTGTTCAACATGCAATCTCTTCTCTTGGCATTTCAGTTTGAGAATTCTCTGAACTCAGAAAGAGAGTTCTGACTTGGGAATCCCCTAAGCTCTTCCCCAGTAAACAAAACAGCAAAATATTAATCTTATTTCTCTTTACAGGGGGTCTCTTCACATGCCCCCATCCCACCCCCCTCCCCTGTAGCTCCTTTTGTACTTTCTCTTTAAACCCTGCAGGCAGGGGTCTGGGAAGGGAAGTCTGACTGGCTTCTTCATGTGATTGGGGATGGATTTGTTATTTTCTAAGCCTTCGCAAATGACTCCTCGTGCTTTTGTCTTGAACTTGCCAGCTTGTGGGTTTTTTTGTTGTTTTACCTGCTGGAGCTTGATTCTGTTTTCCTCACACAGAAACAACCTTACTTTTTACAGCTGTATTCTTCATCATTTTAACTGTGTGGGCTTCCTTTTCCTATTATCAATTGTGTGCTTTGAGCCTCCAGCTTTTATTTTTAAATAGCCTGTATCACTTGCAGAGAAGTAATTATTTTTGGCTGTCCTATTCTTTTTAATCACACTTCCTTATTTTTATGAAGTTCCTCTTTCAAAATCAAGCATAGTTGATGATAGATTTTTTTCTAAATGTTAAACTTCCTTGCAGGTTTAATGTAGCTGTGCTCTGGTTGCCATTTCAGCGTAACATGTTGAACCGTGCCCTGCAGGGCTATTTGGGGCAAACTTCAGGTTGTTTTTTTTCCCCTTTGGGACAAGCTGCTGCACTGATTGTCTCGGGTTTGTTCTCAGCACTGTGCCCTAATGGAGGGTTTGCCCATTGTGCGTGCTGGTAATTGAAGGCTCCCGTTACTCTTCTGTTTCCTGCCTTTGTAGCCTCTCCGGTTTCCCCCCTGTGTTGGGCAGTGTTGCTGCTCTGGGCAGGCCAATAGCAACAGTACTCTGCTATTACTTGAGCCTTGAGTTTTCAGTCCGTGGGGATTGTATTGTTTATCCATATGGTTAAATTGCTAATTTGATTAGACTATAAGCTCTCCCTTAATGTATCAGCAATTCTTACTGGCAGATTGTGTCTTTCCCGACACTAGCGTTGTGCTCTTCGGTTCCCCCTGCTGAGTTTCCAGTACGCCGGCATGTGATCTCCTTGCTTAATGTTGGCCGTTCCACTTTCCAGGCTGGTTTCTTCTACCGAGTGTGAAAGCCTGGGCGCTGCTGTTTGGGTTTTGTACTTTTCTTCACCTCCCCAAATAGTTTGTTCTGTCTGTTCTTTGGGTTCCTATTTGTTTGTTGCCCAACCCTATCTCCTGCTGGCCCAAGTCCCTGTCTGTGGTGGCCCCAGGGAGCGGTGTCTCTGACAGGTGAGCTCTCCTTGACATGTCTCCCAGAGTTCCTTTTGCTGGAGAACGTGGTGCATCACTTCAAGCTTCCCTGCGTACTTGATCTGAAGATGGGGACCAGACAGCACGGAGATGATGCATCTGAGGAGAAGGCTGCTCGGCAGATGAAGAAGTGTGAACAGAGCACTTCTGCCACCTTGGGCGTTCGCGTGTGTGGGATGCAGGTAGGGATCCCCGAGGCTGCAGGTGCTGCACCTTCCCTTTTTACAGCCCCTTTAGACCTCCTAGTTAGTTTTCTGCTGAGCACTGAGTTACAGCGTCTTCCACTTCAGGTAGGTACACCAGTGTTCATAGTACGTGCTTTTTGTCTTCGTTTCTAAGCCTAGAGCAAAGGAACCTGCTTCTCCCAAAATGGCCCACTTTATCCAAAGCGGTTTTGTTTACAGACAATTAGGGGATTTTCTAATAAAATTATTTTTGTGGCTTAGTGTTCAGCTAGAATCACAGTGCCTGGGGAGGGAGGTGTCCCTCTGTCCCAGCATCAGCTGACACTTGCTTCCGTACTGTATTGGGAGTTAAGAAGTTGCTCTCCTCTTGTGGCTAGGCCCCGCACCCAAGGATTTGCTGCTGGTGCTGTTGTGCAATAGCTGCTCCTTTCCCCACCCGCAGAAGGATCTTGTCATCCAGATCTCTGCCCACAGACTCGGAAGCAATGAGGGCCCCTCATTAATCACATGCCGCATAGTAACAGCAATATGTGCCGGCAGCTCCTGCTGCCAGAGGATTGTCCGAGTTGCTGTAAGAGTCGGCTTTTTAAGCCTTGGGGTCTGTGGTGTCATGCTTCTTGGGGACGCTCGGACTGAAGAGCCACCCTTTGGGTATCCCGGGAGAGAACCAGTGCTTGGGCACCCTGGCTGTGCCCATGGGATGCACCATGAGCTGCTTTGGGATTCAGGGAGCCAGCAGAGCTGTTTCCTGCTCCCTCTTGGGTGTGGTGGGGACAGGACGAGTTCCCTCTGCCCTGTGCAGGACAGCTCAGGGCGCTCTGTGCGTGGCCTTAACCTGTTGCTTGCGCTTGATGTGTGTTTCCTTTGGCGTTGTAGGTCTATCAGCTGGACACAGGGCATTACTTATGCAGGAATAAATACTATGGACGTGGTCTTTCCATCGAAGGCTTCCGCAATGCCCTCTACCAATATCTCCACAATGGCATTGAGCTGCGCAAGGACCTCTTTGAGCCTGTCCTCGCCAAACTGCGAAGCCTGAAGGCAGTTTTGGAGAGACAAGCCTCCTACCGCTTCTACTCCAGCTCCCTTCTCATCATTTACGATGGGAAGGACAGCAGGGCGGGTACGTTTGTGGAGCGCCGGCCGGAGATGCGCCTGAAGCGGGTGGACAGCTCTCTCCCGGAGAGCCTTCAGGATGGCGGGAGCACGGAGCCCAGCTCCTCGGCCCAGCCCAAGGTGGATGTGCGTATGATTGACTTTGCACACAGCACGTTCAAAGGCTTTCGCGATGACCCCACTGTGCATGACGGACCCGACATGGGTTATGTATTTGGGCTGGAAAACCTCATCAACATCATGGAACAGATGCGTGAGGAAAACCAGTAGCCCCGGGCTACGGCCTCTTATTCTTGTCCTGGTGGCAGGAGCAGACAAGACCACCTACTACCACAGGAAAAAGCAGACAACTGGTTTTAAACAATTGTATTGCTCCATTGTTTTTAAATGTACTTGGATAGAAGAGCTGAGGGCAGGCAGAATGGAAGAGCTCCTCGTGCTGCCCAGATGGTTCTGACCACACTAGCTCTGCCTTCTGGAGGAGGCTCCGTAGATGCCTGCTGGGTATTGGGTGTCCTGGTTCTTTGCTCGTCATGTGCGCGTTCTGGAGGGAGGACCTGGATGTAGGGAAGAGAAAGCAGGAGAGCATGGGGCTCTTTAGAGGGCCGGAGCTGTGGTGTGAGGAGCCTCCTGCCTCAGGACCCCCCGGGAGAGCCTTCCCTTTGAAATTCTCCTGGGTTATTTGGAAAGGGCACTCGACTAATAGTTGGCAGCGTCTGTGGGGCTGACGGCGAGCAGCGCAGGTGCTGGTCTGTGTGTTCGGTGTCGCTAGCTCTGCCCTGGGTTTTGCCGATGGGGCTTTGCTTTTGATGCTGCCTTTTTCTGCTGTTTGGGCACTGTGAATAACCAACCCAAACACGGAAATAAAATGACCAAATGCAACCCCTGGCAGAGCTGCGGCCAGGAGGGAATGCCGCACACCTGGAGTTGTGCTCGAGCCTGGGGCCTGCTCGCTCCCCGATGGGGTGGCGCGAGCAGGCCCGCGTACAGGCAGGCACGGGGCTCTGCAAGAGTAGCTCTGCCTTGGACCTCTGACCAAGCAAGAACTCAGCTCGTGGGCTAGCAATAGTATCTGTAGCAGTTAACCTGACCCCAGCGGTGCAGCGGGGCCTTTCGGACCATTTCAACCCTTCCCGTTGTGTAATATTGGTCCCACAGGTTGTACGTGAGTGTCTCCCTGCTGCTGTCGGGGGCCGCAGCGCGAGGCTGCTCTTTTCCGCTGGCGCGGCCCTCTGCCCTGCAGCCCCTGCTCTTCCGGCAGGTCCGTGCACAGGGATGGTGGAAGGGGAGGCCAAGGGTTAGGGCTAGCTTCTGTTCTCCCTGGGGGTCTCGGGGGGGGGCAGGTGAGGGGGGACCTGGCTGAGCGGTGAGTGCCATCGCCTGACTGTTCAGCTTTGCCTCATGGAGTCAGTCTTTCCCAAAATAAATGATCTGTTGGTGGATGGAACAGCCAGCTGGGATGTGCTCTGCTGCCTGGGCTCCTGCCCAGAGCCAGCGCTTCACCCATGGCTTCCCTTGTTGAGGGCATTAACGTTTGATACTGTGGCCTGGTGGTACCGAACCGTACCCCGCTCTGCATCACCCCCTCTGTGTTTCTGTGCTGGGACCCCCGGTTGCTCCTTCCCAGTGTCACTGACTTGTTCCATGGCGTTACCATTACTCTGGCTGAGAAACTGCCTGGGTGCCTGCAAGGCCAGGGTTGAGGGGTTTTTTGGGTTTGTTTGTTTGTTTGTTTGTTTTGTTTGGTTTGTTTTTTTTTTTTTTATTTTCGGAAAGCTTT